CTCCTCTTAATGATCTTCGCTGGCTCGACCACCCATTCCCTCTGCTACGTCGCTTGACTTTCGGGTCCAACCATCCCACCGAAAGCGCAGAAAGCGCCATTGAAGTTTTTGGCGATGCACCGCAGCTGAATAATGTTGGCCTCGCTGTGAGGTTTTATCCCTCTCAAGTGGTCCTGCCGTGGTCACAGCTGACCAGCATCACTGCTGCTAAGCTTATTCCTGTCATAGCGGCCGACATTCTGCGGCAAGCTAATTCCCTCGTAAACTTCACCTGCACACTTTGGGGGGACACTGTTCCAGAAGCTGTACCGCCGCTGATTCATCTTGAATCATTGGTTTTACACGATTGGCATTCCCAAAACACCCAAAAACTACTTATTGATGCCCTCACCGCTCCGGTGCTCCGACACCTCACGATCTCAGAGTATGACATCGGTGACGAACCCCTTTCCACCATCGCCGCATTTCTTTCCAGATCACACTGTTCCCTTGACTCCCTCCACATCACCCGACCCACCTACCTACGCACCTCCATGCACGAGGCGGATTATTGTGCCGCTTTCCCGTCGATCAAAGTCATCCAAGTTCTCAAAGATGCCGAGGACGATTCAGATAGCAATACGGATGAGGATGAGGAGTGACGATGGCGACGATTGATCCTCTTGTTGTTGTGGTACGTCATGCACCTCAAGCTTCGTGCCTTTTTTATCCAACTTTATATATACATATAATAGTGACTCTTGGCCTTGATTCTTCCGTTCGCAATTGTACCATCGACTTTTCTTTTAGTTCTTCCATTGGAGCTAGTCCTTCATATGCGGGTCCCTCGCCTTTCATCATCATTCTTCCGCAGATAATATTCATTCGTAGTATAAATAGTTCCTCATTCCTGAATATTCTTTCCATTTTCATCGCTGCGCCATATCTTGGATCATAAGAGAGGAATCGTCGAAAGAGCCTGGTTTTTATTACTTCGTAATGGCTAGATTCAATGATACCGACATTTTTTTCTCCTTCGACCCACTTGTGGGCCTTCCGCGCCACTAGACCCGCGAATAACGCGCTTCGTAGTTTTCTTTTAAAGACTGAGTGGTTGGGAGATTGTTTAGTTCTGCAGTGTTCCTACACCCCAAGGACGGGCTTTCCAGAAACCTCTGTTTCGGAGCAAGTACCGTGAATAGCGTGCAGCGGGCAACGCTACTCAAATTTACTTCCACCTCATCCCATACGCCGAACATGTACTGTTTTTTTTAAAAAAAAAGAGATGTCACTCCCCGCAGAATCAACCGCTGGAACAAAAAAAGGATATTACAGCCTGATAATTGGGTCGACACATGGCGACCATAGCGGGTAATTGTGTGGCTAACTGGTCGATTAGCGAAGTAAACGATACAGATGAAACTGGGCTGCTAATTAGATTGTGTGCAGAAGAATCTATTATTTTGTAAGCTACAGACTTTGGGTATGTATCTTATTGCAATTATCATGGCCTGCATCCATACTGCGAATTGTTAGCGAAATTTGAGCGAAGAACTAACGAAGTTTGTGCGGTAAGGAAAGACATGTTTTCACCACCCGATTGGCCGACTACATTCACTGGTGCGAGCGCAACTTGAATTCACCTGTTCGTGCGCGAATCGGCTTGAATTAGCATAGGGTAAAAAGGGAGATCTGGGAAGGATGCACGAGGACGGGATGGTGGCATGTAAGGGAGGATGCATGCAGTAGGAAGGAAGGATACACGGACGTAGAACTGCACAGTATAGCTCGGGCGCGTAGATGACGGGAAGGAAGGAGGTAGACGGGTAGAAGATTAATGTAATGCAGGTAGGTATTAGAAGCGAAGGGTGGAATGGATTGAGGAAGGTATAGTAAGACTTACTAGTAGGTAGCGAAGGCGGCGAGGATATGTATGTACAGAAGAAAAAGGAAGATGAGGACTGGTCCGACGCGCCGCCGCTCGCAAAGGAGCACCGTAACTTCATCCGCCTCCACACTCCCCGTCCCGCCACCCGCTCCCGCCACGGCTACTCCCCAGCCAACATAGTGCAGAATGTCTGGCGCCGACTCCTCCACGCACCCACGGCGTCCCGAGTCCCGACACGTCAGCGCCGACCACTCCCACCTCCTCGTCCGTCCCCATACCTGGTCCCCACACTCCCATCTGTACCGACATGCCCCCGCTTCAGGCCCCGTCCCGTTCTGCGCACAAGCGGGATCTCCAAACGCGATCCAAGCGCACCGCAGATGCGTCTTCAAGGGCGCCGCGCATGCGTTTATCTGCTCGCCCAGCCCGTGGTGCGTACGTAGAGCGCTAGTCGCGGCGCGAGCACAGCGCAATGCCCGCCGCGCGCGCTCGTACCGTGCTGATCCCGTCCCGCCGCGGAGCAGCAGGTACACATCGACTGAGCGGGGTGTCGTATTGGCGGTGTCTTGTCGCCGTCGACGCGAGGCCCAATGTATCGGGCGTTCGCAGCGGGCAGGGCAAAAAGCGAGCGGTGGACTCACCCTCGTCGACAGCGCAGGCGATTGAGCGGGCATCGTACCCGACCATGGCTTCTCTTGCTGTATCTCCTCCGCCTCCTGAGCTTCCGCCACCTCCCGCGCCTCCGCCACCCCCCGTCGCACTCCCTCCATCGCCTGCACACTCACGCACGCACGCGCGAACATGATACCGCACAGCCGCGCTCATAATAGGAGGGGAGAGGCGCGACAGTGTGCCACGGCAGGGCGCGGCGCGGCGCTCCGCCCCCGTTGCCTCTATCTACGTCCATCTACGGGCTAGGCGTTCCGCGGCGCGCCGTCCTTCCGCCTCGCGAGTGTGTCCGCGGCGGGGGGTCGCGGGTCCAGTGGCCCTTACGCCGGTCTGAGAGATGCGCGTTCGTGGGCGCGCAGCGCCGGTGGGTGGGTGTAGGCGATCAATGGCGCGGTGCGCGGCGGCGCAGGGCCCGAAGGGAGCCGACCGTATGTTCTCCGTCTGTCACGCCGTATGTCACAAATACGTACGGTGCGGATCCCTACGCAGGGGTGCGCGTATGCGTATACAGAGAGCCCCGCGCCGTCTGAGAGACGCGCTCGGGAGTGTGGAGCGCAGTTGGGTGGACGCAGGCGGTCGATGGCCAAAGACTCAGAGGGGGCTGGGCGGTTTGGGGCGCGCGGGGTAGCGTGTGGTGCCGGAGGGTGGACAGCGCGCAGAGGGTCCATGGTGAAAAGAGGCGGCGGCGCGGTTCGGGGTACGTGCGCGCCGGGCGAGCCGAGGTGCACCGTCAAGAGGATTGGGGCGCAGCTTTTCGCCGCCGTCGCGTCCATCCATGTCCGCCTCAGGCTGCGCAGGCATTGATTCGTGGCTGATAGTGAGCCATGCACCGTCCCAGAGATTCGATACGCCGTCACGGGATCATTGGGTGCCAGTGGGTGGATGTGAGGGTAGCGGAGAGGGCACGGTACGCCATCAGCACGGTGCGGCAGCGGTGGCTTGACTCCGTCATGGAAGAGCGTCTTGAGGAGATGTAGAGACCGCTCGACCTCGGAGAGGCTGCGAACGCACATCGTCACGGAGAGCGGTCGTTCTGCGGGCAGCGGATGCGGGATACAGGCGCGTCGGGGTGGAGTCCGCCTGGAGAGCTGGACGGCCTGTGCGATTTAGGTGCAGAGACGTGTCAGGAGACGCCGCGATAAACCTGCGGATCGGGCGCGCCGCACCAATATCGTCTTGTCCTGCGCGATCCGTCGGGCGACTGTTACGTACGCCGCCCACCAACATGGAGGAGCAGCACGGCGAGGAGGGGGGACGCGGCAGAGCTTCGGGGTGGGAGGGCCCGCAGGCTGTGAGGCGCCATCCAGACGCGTGGTACGCGAGGGCTACTGCTGCGACGTGTCGGTGCGGCGGTGTGAGGATCGAACAGGCGTCATTCGCCGCTCCATCTATGCGAATCCGGTGTGGGTGGGGTTTCCGCGTTGGTGTCGCGTCGTATATGGACCGGGCCAGAGTCGCCTCGTGGGGAACGTGGCTGCGGAACCGTCTCGTACATTGACTGCGCGGCGCCCGAGTCAGGCGCAGCACGTCCGCGGCTTCAATTCGGTGTCGAGAGGCTCGTAAGGAGGGGTATTGAGGGGAGAGGAGCGAGAATCTCTAATCGGATCGAAAGGATTCGATGGCGCATGAAAGGAGCAAGAGGGGAAGGGAGATGGGAGCGCGATATGTGGGGTGGCGAGGACATGGTGAATGAGGGTCGTGAAGGGAGGAGCGGGGATGAAACGAAAGGGGGAGCTCGAGGGGGAGCTCACCCAGCTGCGCCAACGCGAAGCGCTTTCAGGACCGAAGGCTCGCGGTACACGACCTGGGTCGACGCTTGCGTACTCGGATCGCAAAACAGCATCAATTGGAGATCATCCTGGCGTGCGTCGTGGGTCAGACGAGACGAAGCAAGTGCGTATTCCCCGACGTTGCGCTGCGGCGATCACGCCACTCGGCACCAGTGGGTGACAGAGTTGAGGCGGAGAGGCGGCCCATGAACGTCGAGTTCCGCGGGCGGGGACAAATTCAGGGTCATATTAGACTGCGCACGACAAATTATTAAAAAGGCCGTAGACCATATAAGAAATGACGACTCACCGAAGTGGGCGAGTTCTGCGAGTGCAACGTACGAGACGTGCAATAGTTTCGTTCAAGTGTCCGCGGTAGACCTGGTCGCCTAGTCCTCAAGAGTGGATGTCATGGCTGTATTGCGAGAGGCCCAAGGAAGCTTCTGCCGCGGCCACTGGTGGGCTTCAGACAGTCGCCAAGAAAAACCCTGGGTGAGAGTCTGATGACGTGCACGTGTTGATCGGCGGCCCGCCCCGGATGATCAAGCTGTCCGTCGCTTTGACCGATGCGTAGAATGTTCGCAAGAGACGAATGCGGGGAGTACTTGGTATGATGAACAGAACAAGTGAATATAAAGTACACGGGGATGAATTAAATTATAACTCAAAACCAAAAATTGTTTCCCACCAGCTTATGCTTTCGGGAGGATTTGAACCTCCATCTCTCACGATCTGCTGACCCCAAGCGTTTAGTGGAGTGAGCAATTTACCATTTAATCAACGAGAGCTTCATGCCTTTTGAACGACACTTGATATTGCCAGATATTGCTTCACTGGACCTGCGAAAAAACAGGCTTTTCAGTACGGTCATTCCCGCGGGACTTTGTCCAACTCCATCTTGTGGATCTGAGGTGGCGATGAAAAGTCCACAACTTCCGTGTCTCTGATGGGCGATTTCCTTTTTATCAACGACCTCTTCACCGAACCTGGCTATGATCCCCATCTACTTACAGCTGCGCAAAATACCTTCAAATTTGGCACACTCAAATAAATATGTATCTTGTCTGAGATCTCCGAAGATTGGGATCTGCGTAGATATCTCTTTTTTTGTCCGCCAGCTGGTGGCTCACTAACTGCTTCTGTGTAGGAAGAAAAAAAGATCAACGATCACCACGTCATACCCTCGGGAGGATTCGAACCTCCGTCTCCTGCTCGACTCAGATGAGGCACATTCGCCCACCTCTGATGGGGGATTTACCACTAATCAACGGGGGCTTCATTTCCATTCACTGAACCTTGATATGGACCCATCTGTAAAAACGAAAACCTGTTCCAGTTTGACACCCACAGAAAAATTATGCGTGTCGCCAGTGGATCTAGGTCTCCGATTATTGGGATATGCGCAGAATTATCTCCAATTACACCAGGTTTACAGGCTGCTTCAATACAGGAACGGGCATGGAAAGAAAAAGTCCACAATTTTGTGTAGCTTATGCCCTCGGGAGGAGTCGAACATCCATCTCCCACTGGACATGAGTTAATCTCGGTAGGTGATTTACCATTTAATCAACGAGGGCTGCATACCTTTTTGAATGAAGCTCGATAAACTTTAGCTATATCTGCGTAAAGGAAAACCGGTCAAGCTCACACGCTCAGGAAATTTCTGTAGTGGATCTACATCTGCAGATATTGGGAGGTGGTGGACACGTCCGGGCGGGGCGGAGCGGATCGGCGTGGATCGCGGGCGGCGGACCGCGGCGGCAGAGAACCTCAAAGGCAGAAAGCGAGCCAAGGGGATGACATAAGCCCACTACGAGGACAAGCACGACTACCTACATCACAACCACTCCTGAGTTTCCGCCTCCGCTGTCAAACCCAAAAAGGAGATTTGATCGCGGCACGATTCCCTGCCGCCACCAAGCCGTTGTTTGTTTGGACTGCGCCGAAGTGTCAGTGTTCTGTCAGCCACAACAAGCGGTATTGTCGCTCTCTTCCTCCCACCATCCTCATCGCTCTTTACCCCCGCCTCGCCTTCCGCCGCACATCGCACACTCGCTCGCCGCCACAGTGCCACTCGACGCCGATGTCCCCGACGCCTGCGCCCCGCTTCCGAGGAGTTAGGGCAAGCCAAGCGCGCCCTAACTCCGGGTATCCACCGTGTCGTCCCGCCGTGACGGGTTAGGGTTAGGTGAATGCGCTCGGGGGGTCTCCCAAGCCGGGGCATCTCAGGCGGCACGCTAAAGACTCGTTCCCGCAAGTGAAGAGCGAGGATGTAATTAAATACCTGTCATCATAATAACACTCAATTCAGCCCTTCTAAAATTATTTCCCTTGTATTGTATAAAACAATGAGCCTTTGTCTTGTAAGTAAGTACTTAGGGTATAAACGAGTCAGAACGGCTTGTGGCGGCTTGGGGGCGGCAGGGAATTCGTGTCGAGATCAAATCTCCTTTTTGGGTTTGACAGCGGAGGCGGAAACTAAGCGAGTCACCACAACACGCACGCACCGCCACACGGGGGCGGCATCCGCCGCCACCACAGTGGGTCGATATTTTTTTAAAATCAACTAATTATCAACTAATTACTAACTTCGATGCTTCCGTGTAAGTATGAAGCAAAAATGTAAATGTTCCACATAACCTTGAGAGGATATAAGCCTCTGTCTCCCACGAGACTCATGAGCCGTGCAAGCCGGTCAGGTGCTGTGGGTGATTTACCATACCTTTGTAATATAAACCTCGATGTGGCCCACCAGATCTGCGGGAAAAAAACCCCGTTTGAGTACGACATCAATATTCCTACGACAATGATTCAACGTTAATATTCAACCTTTATTCGTGTGGATCTCCCGACATTGCGCAGATATTTTTTATAATGATAGTAAATCAAACAAATGTCGACAAGCCGGTGGATTTCACTACTTCTTTGGAGGAAAAAAATTGACAGCCAGTGCTCATGCCCCCGGGAGGACTGGAACTCCATCTCCCACCAGTAGTGTGTGATTCACCATAAATCAAGGAGGGTTATATGGCTTCACGATGAACCTCGAGGCGGTCATTACCTCTACGAGACCCAGTATTTATTTATTTCAAGTGTCAGAACAAGATCCTTTTATTTGAATCCGATCTCGGTGCATGGGTGAATAGCACGAGATCGTAACTTGATGGCCCCTCTGATAGTGCTATGTGTTGGAATATATTGCGCCCTAGTCCCAACTACAGTGAGCATGTCAGTAATTAAATTGGATCGGGAGGGCGAAGCTCTATAAAAACCTGTTCATAACCTTCAAGAGTCAGATAGCTGAGACCGTCCACAGTCTCCGCATCAGTGAAGCTCTCATGTCTGCCAGAAACGGCGCTGTATCGATAAATCCCCTTAACCTTGCCCAGATACATGCGGATTGCACTACGCATGATGACCAATGAGTCGATGCGCAACGGTGTGATGCTGCTGACGCCTCGGCATTTAATATTAGGCACTGAGATGAATGAAATCAGTCCACCGCAACAGCCGATGTTATTTGTAGCTCACCGACTACATCGCTGAGTGCGATATCCAGCCTGCATCCGACATTCAACTCCACGGGGAGGTCCGACCGCAACCCAGCGCTGTAAGCACGCCTTCTGAAATGCCGTATCCGTGCGTAGAACTTCGTTTTGCTGGATCCCCTCTTTCAACTGATGTGCTGCGTGGTTGAGAGATAATTTTCCGTTGAGATAGCGAACATCGGTCTGCGGTTTACGGGCTTCCTCGGAGTGAACCGCCATCTACGCGCAATGTCTCTTCCTCTGGGCTACTAAAGTTAGACGGGCTATCGGCCCTCCGTTGGCGGGGCAGAAATGTGGGGATTGGAGTCAGTGCGACGGAAGGGGCCGGCTCTATCAGGTTCAACAGCTCCGCGATTCGTATGCGGCCGGACACAGTCTCTTGTGTCTCTGGATTGGCTTCCAACTTCTCTACAATCTCATCGAGCTCTGCTTCACCTTTGGCGGCTTCGGTGAACAGGTATTGCTCAGTGAGGATGTGATGCGGCGCGTGCGCTAAAGCCTCCGATACAGACAATCTGGAACCAGGTGTGGAGTCGGCGGGTACAGTCGGCGTTCTACGACAACATAGTGAGAGAAGTCGGGCGCGCGGCTCCATTGATTCGATACTAATAGGCTCTCCATCCTCGTTGTCGGACAGTTGCTCGCCAGGAAGGTCCTTGGTTGCGGGCCCGTTAGCTGTTCGAAAATGTGGATGTAAATCTGATGCCTGCAGTGGTAGCTTTGGTGAATGCATCCTGGAAAACTGCCAGGCAAGAGCGGCCGCTTCCCTCCAACCCATTTTACAGGCACTATCAATGTCTGCCCGAGATAGAATCTATTTGAGAGCATAAATCTCTTCCGACGTAAGCTTTGAATCGGAAGAATCAAACTCGTAGCCATTGTTAGAATCGTTTTCATTCTTCACTTTGAATTGACCCGACGATAAAATCTGCTGGCGGATCGTAATGTGCTTGTACATTTCGATCAACTGGCCAAAACGAAAATTCGGCGATACATGATCGCGAGATCCTGTAGAAGTGCTCGAGGAAGTGGCTGCCGTATTTCTAGCACAGGCATTTCGGTGCTCCACACCACCTTCACGCGATCATCGGTGCCGGTTGGTGCCGGCTAGGTCCATCATCGCCGATCATTCGACGGTGACTCATCATTCCTTCTTTTCTCGGGCGCTAATTTAGGCGTTGAAGAAGCTCAGCTAACTTTGCACATCGACTGACACCACAGCAGTCTTATTTCCTCTTTCATCTCGTTATCTCATGTCCGGTGCTCAGAAACTGTTATTCAACGACTCGGAACTTCAAGGTCCATGAAAGCTTTAAACTTCCTTGTTCTGCGCGCAGATATGTTCCCAATTCTCAAGGCTGACATCTGTCTGGCAGGCGGCATCTGTCACTAAGGATGTCAACGTCTGGAATCAGGGACCAGGGCCCGCAGACGGAGGAACAAAACGCCGAGAGCAAACGGAAGTTGCCGGATATAAAGCACCGACGAGGACCATGGATTGACTATCGCCCTCCCTTTCCATCTCCAAACAAACACTCAGTCTCTTTTGCGTTAATAGATATTTTTTCACACTTTCATATGACACCGGAATTCATTCCCGAACGACCGAAGGATGCCAAGTATCGCACTCTAATCGTACTCCTCGACGGTACCGGGGACCAGTATGTGATGATCCCATTTCACATTTTGGATCGAATTTGAACACCGCTGTTTGCAGGGACGACAAGGATGTAATTGTATCCAGTTCGTGAAGCACAACTACGTTGCTAATAGTGAGATTGCTCTTTAGGCCACCAATATCGTTCTGTTGGACAAAATGCTGTACAACGGCAAGGAATACCCTGGGAACAATGATGTGCAGTTGGTCCACTACCGTGTACGCCAAACTGTTATATGCCCTGAAAGCCGGCTCACCTCCACCAAACCAGGAGGGGATTGGAGCAGATCTAACGAAAGATTATACCGGCCTCGTTCAGTATGGGTGGAACAAAGCGAAAAATGTATACTGCCTTCCCATTCTGTAGGCAGTTCCTTGAACCCATTACAGACATTCGACCAAGCGGTGGCAACCTCGTTTCAAAACCACATCATTAGTGGGTATTATTAGTCACCTTGACCTCGTATTGCTTATTCATACCTTCTTTAGAGGCGTATACCTGGTTAGTGGAGAACTACCAAGACAATGATAAGATTTGCATCTTCGGCTTTTCTCGCGGCGCTTACTCTGCCAGAGTGTACGCCTACCATTTCATTTCCTCCTCTTTCGCACCCTGATCTTTCATTCCGGCAGGCTGGCGGGCATGCTCAACGCAATGGGCCTCTTGAGAGTCTCGGACACTGCTTTTGCCAAGGCAGCATACGATCTATACGAGAAGTACAACGGTCTTCCTGATAGCTCACAGAAGGAGACGAGGGACAACGCCTGGTTCGCTCTCCTGTCACAGTGGGAGAAATTCAGGACCGAACATAAGGTCAACAGACCGTTCGTCGAGTTCTTGGGCTGCTGGTCCGTCGGATTTATTTTCCCTTTCGGACTTATTCATCTTCGCTTAGGGACTCTGTCAACTCCGTAGGTATGATGGACAACATCAAGCTTGCCTACACAGCTACCAACGGCATTGTACGCACGTTCAGGCACGCTGTCGCGCTCGACGAGAGGAGGGCCAAGTTCAAGCAGAACATGTGGAGCCCGCCCAAGAAGCCTACGGTCGTTGCAAACGCTAAGCA